CCCCTTTTCTCCTACCTCTCGATATGCAGCAAAAGATTATGATCTTCAAAACTCGTCTTGTGTTCTCTCCTCCGCAATTGACGAAGCTGTTGCCGACTTCAATGACTCCGTCGTCTTCGATGCCTTCGCCATCTTCGACGTTGCCGCCATCGACTCCAATTGTTCAAGGCAAGGTTTTCTTTTATTTTGTCCCTCAAAATGAAATCTTAGCACATACATCGATTTTTTCTTCTTTCTTTTTTGCTCTAGATACGGTTACCACATACATTGCGATTTTTTTTCAATGAAAAACAATTCGCAATATATATTTCAAATTTTTCTTCTTATTTACCGTGCATTCAATTATTAGTGTTGCTGATGATATTTGTTTATTTCCGATGATGCACAGTGCCAGTCTATACAAATGAATGTTTGAGTTTACAAGAAGTAGAGTTGTGTTCATATACACAGTTAAGTCGCTCAAGGTTCTAGAGGATTGTGCAACCGTTTGGGTGTTGCAAGTATCCGGAGGTATATGAAGTTGGTTGATGGAACCAAATTTCCGTAGATATGAGCAAGAATTCCAACCAAGACAACAGTTGGACCTCTTTTTTGAAAAAAAAATGGAAATATAGACGGTTTGTTTAATCTAATACCAAGAAAAATAAACAAAATATTTATTGTTGAATTTTAGATTAGTTTGAGGAATCTGGTTGTGGAATTTTTGTTTTTGTTTGTGATTCGTTTATATTATATGTATTATTTTGTTGTAAATATGACAAGTTTTGCTTTGTTATTTGATGTTCTTGAAGGAACTGTTTACAAAGGTAAAAGCTTCATTTTGATTTGAAGTCGTGTTATAATTTTAATCTATGTTTAATTTAGATTTTTATGGTGTTTATATATTTGTTTTATAATTACTTAAGAAGTTCATTCGTTTATTTTATAAACATAAACTTTAAATTGAGCAAAAATAATATAAAAGGGTAAAATGGTCATTTTTATAATTTAGCATAGCAATTCAAATGTTTCAACCAAACAACATGATAAAAATTCAGATCCTACCAAACAACCCCTTACACCTAGTTTGTAATATATTCATATTTTACAAGCAACCCGAAGTAAAAGAGAAACATTAATAACTTTGTATTCCATAATAATAATAATAATAATAATAATAATAATAATAATAAAATAATAATAATAATAATAATAACAACTAAAGACTTCTAAAGATAATATTAAATACAATAACTTTGAATTCATCATCTTTAAAATCGATTATGATATTTGTGATAGTAATTGCATTTTATTAAATATAATTTTTTTTGTGGGGGTATTCTTCCATTTGTTCAGTCACTTTGAGAAAATTTCCCAATACGTTAAAATCTTTGTGTCGGCTAAACAAACTAACAACTAATTCGGCTTGATGTTTGAGCAGGATATTATCTTTTTAATTTTTTGTATAATAATTTGGACATAGGTTCATAAGATCTTTTAGCAAAATAATTTTATAATAACAGAGATATCATAAGTATAATAATGACTACAAAAAAATATTGTTCTTCAACGGACCAACGATTTCATTTTATCTCTCAATAAAAAAAAAATCAAGTTCTCTCGATTCAAAATCTTAAGAGTAAATTACCGAAATAGTTCATATTGTTTATCCTAATTTAAAGGAATAGTCCAAGTTTTGGAAAATGATGCAAAACATCCCAATGATTTTAAAATCAAACACATTTGGTCCCTACCTCCAATTACCATCACCAAGGCTACGTTAGAAAGCATCACATACCCTACACACGAGAGCAAATATGTCTTTCCATTATTCCATTTATCCTCATGCGAGCCAATGTCTTACCTCCAAAGGTCCTAGTAATTACATCTTCCTACCGATGATGCGTAAAATAACGAATCATTTTTACAAGTTTAGATCGTTTTCGACCCGGTCCCGTAAAAAGGGATCTGGAATTTGCCATCATTTTTAGAGGGTTCAGAAATTAGAAGAAAACACGAGTGTGTTAAATAATACAACAATAAGTGATGAAAATGATATTAATAATTTCTTAAGTATCGATTCCCCATAGGTAACTTCATAATATGTAATGTCATGTTTCGAATTGTTACCCATTTGGGTGTGAGTGATGTAATGTAGATGTTTCGGGCATTTGGATTTGTGTTTTGGAGTCAATGGGTAATTCGGTAAAGTGTTAGCTCGGGTTTTTTGGAAATTAGACTTGTGTTCGGGAGATTTTATGGCAGGTATGAGTTGATAAAAATGTAGAGCTTCTTGTTACCTTTCCGTAGATATAAGGATTGTCGAAATCAGATTTGTATCAAAGAAGTTATGGCCTTCAGAGTGCTTAGGGTTTAAGAGAAACCCTAGTATGTGGGGCGTACTGATGTGAAGGCTGGTACGCGAGGCGTTGAAACATCCCAAAAATACGGTCCAAAAATTTCGTTTTTAAATCATTATTAAAACCATAAATATCGTCACAATGGTATAAATCATAAAACATGTATCTCAAAGTATCATAATATCTGACAACATATCAAAATCTCATATCAAATGTCAGAGTAATCCTCCACGCTAGAAAAATGTGTCATGCGATCATCCCGAGCCCTTCCCTTTGCTAGCAAAAGTACCTGAAACCAAAACTAAAAACTGTAAGCACGAAGTTTAGTGAACTCCCTCAAACTACCACATAACATGTAACATGCAACATAACTTTGGGACTACTCCCAGCTACATCGGGATGACCCCGACATCGGACTCGTGTCCGGTATCGGGCTCACCCCGACATCAGATCACGTCTGGTATCGACCCCGCCCACGTGTGTATATAAATTGGACACCACCTCGGGCAGTGATGGTCGACGGCGGTCCATGGTGGCAGCCACCACCTCACGGTGGTGGTGGTTACGAGTTTTAGGCCAAAACAGTGAAAAAACTCCAAACATCCGACCAAACACACACACACATATACATACAACCATCCAAAGTGGCGGCTGGTGGCGTAAACGGTAGCCAAACGGCGGCATGAGGTGGTGGTGGGGGTTTTTCTTTGGTTTTCCGGCCCAACAAGGCACACACACGCCGATGTACACTGAAACACATACACCATCGTGTAGAAACACACAAACAACGCAGCTACCCATTCACGGTGGCATGCGACTGCCAGAAGGAATGGGACGATGGGACAGCGGCCGGAGCGGCAACATCGGCCGGTGGGAGGTAACATTGGCTAAAACGAAGAGGGAGGCAGAATATTAAGTTGTGCCATTACCAAAAGGATTCAGCAGAGGTAGCAGTTGCAACTTTGTGTCCCCCAATCTTCCTTAATCACACGTTGGACCCACGGTTGTCGCCTTCGTAGGCGGCGGAAGCAGCAACAAAAAATGGTTTCGCCGACAACAATGGTTTGTCAGTGGCTTGGTTGGTCGGAGACGCAAGAGAGTAGGGTGGCGGAGGATGCTCTAATGAGAGATGGTTTAGGGTTTTAGGGGAACCGCATGGAAGAAACACGGGAGGCGAAGCACGAGTTAAAGGCCCGTAACTTTAAAATATCATGCCATAGTGGCACTTTTAGTCCGTCCCCCAAGATTTATTTCAACTTAGGTCCATAGTTACTAAACAGCCGCTGCTCTCCAAAAATCCTTACATTACAAGTCAAATTGTTACTAGATAATTCCTAATTTCCATAAATTATAACATTTTACTCCTTGAGGCTAGCACTGGTAAATTAGTATGGATTTATGGCTAAATAAATGGAAATAGAAATTATATCTCGGGGTTTTAGGGCTATTATTTATTTATTCAATTGATTTTATTTATCTATTAAATTTTAAAATGGAATGTTACAAATCGGGTCCATCCATGTCGACCCTATTTCTTCGTCTGTGTTTACAACTTTCATGTCTATACTCATGCATGGGGCAATTTCGACGAAGACACTTTTTATTAAGTGAGAGAAAGATGAAGACGCTAACTTACTTAAAGCATCCGCACGTTTGTATTTCGAGCATGGAATTTTTGTTATTGTGAACTCGCTAGAATTTTTTTTGTAATTGCTGGACTTTGGATAGATATCTTTTCATCAATTCATCCCTTGCCTCATATAATCTTTTTACTTGATTGGTTATCAATAGAGATTCAGTGTATACATGAAGTTGTTGTGCTTCCATTTGACTTACGAGTTCCAGTCCTGCCACTATGGCTTCGTACTCAGCTTCATTGTTGGAGGCCTTGAAGTTGAATCGGAGGGCATATGTTATCTTTTGTCCAGAAGGATCAGTTAAAATTAATCCTACACGGGATCCCTCTTGGCTGGATGCACCATTAATGAATAGGGTCCATGTCGAAGCATTGCTTTCATCAGATATTTTGGCGGTTTTCTCCATGGAAGAGTTGTAGATCATAGGAGATTCTGCCAAAAAGTATGCAAGGATTTTCCATTTAATTGACGAACGAGGTTTGTATATTATCTCGTGTTTTCCTAGCTTAATGGCCCATTTAGCTAGACGACCTGAGTTTTCTAGTATTAGGAGGACTTGTGTGATTGGTTGGTCGGTTACGACACATATCATGTGTGCTTGAAAGTAGCGACGCAACCGTCGAGTTGCGTGTATTAGAGCGAGGGCGATTTTTTCAAGGCTAGTGTAGTGGATTTTATCTCCTTGATATGCTCAGCTCACGAAGTATATTGGCTTTTGTGTGTTTCCCCTTTCTTCTAGGAGCACTACACTTATAGCTTTTGTGGCGGCTGATAGATAAAGGATAAGTGTCTCTCCTGGCTTTGGTATTGTTAAGGCTGGCAAGGATTGAAGATGGTTCTTTAATTCTTGGAAAGCCATCTCTACTTCAGCACTCCATTAGAAGTCTTTTTTGTTGAGACACTCTTTTAGCGTCTTGAAGAATGCTAATGACCTTTCCACCGTTTTTTCTAAAAAGTGTCCCAATGCCGGGGGTTTACCATTTAGCGCTTGAAATTCACGTAAGGGTTTTAGAGAACATGTTTCTTATGGCTTGGATTTTTTTTCTGGATTCGCTTGGATTCCTTCTTTAGTGATCATGTAGCCCAGAAATTGTCCGGTTTCCACCCCAAACGTGCATTTTTTAGGGTTGAGCTTCATGTTCGCTTTACGAAGTGTGTCAAATATCTCAGCAATATCCGATAACAAGTTGATCTCGTTCTTTCTTTTTATCACTATATCATCAACATACACTTCAATATTTCTACCGACTTGATTTGAGAACATGTTATCCATATTGATGATACGGAAAATAACGGATCCTTTTACTGGTTTCGATCGTTTCAACCTGGTCGCGTTAAAAGAGATTTGGAATTTGCCATCATTTTTAGAAGGTTCATAAATTAGGAGAAAACACGAGTGTGTTAAATAATACCACAATAAGTGATGTAAAATAATATTAATAATTTCTTAGGTGGCGATTCTCCAAATGTAACTTCATATTATTTATGTAGTTTTACACCACTTTCCGAGAGGGGTTCGAAGGACTTGGTTGGAGAAAGATTATGGCTTGCATATAATGTTTTTCCTAACAAACTTTACTTTTCTTTTGTATGATATCTCTTGGGAAAACTTCTCCATATTTTCTATTAATACAATACATTGAAATATTAAGATAGAAGAAGAATAATTCTTTCTTGTTTCTCCCTCCCCTTCCTCCTTCTCCTTCGTATACTATTTATAGTCATTTCCAAATGGAATGTGAAGCTTTCACATGGGCCCCTTGAATCAAATGGACAAGTTAAATTTGTAGTCAAGTTGGGTGTTATCATTTTGTCTCAAAGGTTCATGTACCTATTTCATTCGTTGTAGGTGTGTGTATATATAGTGTTGTAGGTGTGTGTATATATAGTGAAATGAATATATTATTAAGTATATAAATATATTACTTGTATTTTAGGCATACGTGAAATGAATATATTATTAAGTATGTATGATTTTTATAAATCAATGTATAGTCAAATAAACTTATTATTATTATTATTATTATTATTATTATTATTATTATTATGTATACACATGTGCAAGGAGAATATCTGTAGACTTGTACATTATAGTGTATTCATTCGTTTCTAACGAGTTTATGTGTGTTATAGCTCGCTAAGAGACTTCATAATATTTCAAGTTGTAAGATGCAAGTGGGTCGTGTTAAAATAAAGTGAAGTGAGAATAAAATGAGACTCGTCAGTGTGTTTAAGAGGAAAAGGAGTGAGGGAACAAATAACATATTCTTCAAGATTTTTTCCTTAGCAGTATGTCACCAAGGAATCTCCTAGAGAATAAATATATAGTTATGTTTTTACAACTTACCACATATAATAGGTGTGATTGGGTCTTCATTTTTATGTATAACTTTAGGGTAGCTTGTACACACGTGAACACCATAAACTTTTTACCATATACGTGTCTTTTTTTATTTTTCTTTATTAGAATTATTTCTCATTTCTAAGGCAGTAAGTTACTTTCAATCCAACGAAATACAAGCAATCCGTTTCACTCCAAAAGCAAATGGATTTTAATGGTGGTTATTGATGTGAGGTCACTAATCAATTTGAACCTTTCAAAGTAAGTAAAAAAAAAAAATTAATGATGGTATTTATTATTTTACTCTGTGTATATATATATATATATATATATATATATATATATATATATATATATATATATATATATATATATATATATATATATATATATATCTTTTATTTTTATTTTACTATGCGTGAGTGGTTCCATCATTAATGGTACTATCAAATGCTATATCACCACCGTTGAGGTGGGGGTGTATTCTCATCTGCTAGTTACCCCCACTATCCGACAATCTATATAAATTTGTCTTTCACTTGATCTAAATATGTTTCCAGTGGTTGGGGGCCGTGGTCAACCGTCAACCGTTGTTCCTAAAACGCACCATATGCCTGCTATGGAAGTTGTTCATTTTTCCGGTCTTGAGGAGCGTTACCATGCTTTGCTCACCTAATACAAGAGTTTTTACTGTCAAGATATCGAGCACTTAGCAATTGAAAATGCGGAGCTTTGTGCCCATGATGCTTTTTTGGAGTATGAGGTTGGTTGTCTTCGAGGAGCTTTTTTTGGAAAGGGAACTTCCCTAACAAGGGTTTCTGGGTCAGATTTCACGCACCGACTAATCCCCAGCTGCAAACATGAAGCTTTGCCTCATGCTTTGGAGTCACTGTAGGTGAACCTCCAAGGCCACAAGAGTTGAGTGGTGTCAGGATTTGAACATGGGTCAATAGGTTATCCACCATATCTTCCACATACCTTACCAAATCACCACAACCCAAGTGTTTGGCTAAAAAAATCGGATTTGTTTGTTTGAAATATATTAGTGTGTATGAAGTTGTTCTATTGATGGGCTTGTATGACTTTTTATAAAATAAAGTAATATTATTTGTATTGTTGTTTTATGTGATTCCTCTTGAACATTTTATATGCTCCGTTATGTTGTCTTTGGTGTTTTCTAAAAAAAATAGGAGTCAGAGTTGGAAAAGTGGTCCATATTCCTTAGGTGAATTTGTTTGACATAGTTTTGTGAGCAAACGAGTTGACTTACAAGTTGCTATGTCACTTTTCTCAGAAATTGCTATTTACCTTTTATTTGCTTAATTCCATTTCCATTTCATTTTGTGCAAACGTCCTACTCATTTTTTTGTAGTATCATATTTCATTTGAACGAATATAATTGTATGGGATGTAAAACATGAACTTACCAACCTTTTATATATATATATATATATATATATATATATAATATATATATATATATATATATATATATATATATATATATATATATATATATATATGTGTGTTATTTTTGTTTTTCGTCAATGTTGTGACTGACATATGTGGTGTTTGAAAAGTATCTTGATTAACACATATAAGTCGATCTTTGCATAATGTGTTTTTTATGCCACTTTTATTACGTATTATTTCCACGGTGTCATTTCGTTGTCGTGTATAATCACGAAGATATACATATTAATGTATATATTTTTTTCCTATAATGTCGAAATGATGATGCATCATATTTGGCTCTTGTTTTTATTGAAGCCATAAGTACTTTTTGTTATATTTTCTTCTCGAATAGAAAGCACATTTTTTTTTGAAAACGACTTACTTGTGTATATGAGATAATTGTGTTGCTTTTTGACGTTGTTACATCATGTTCGTTTAATAAATAAATAGATAAAATTGATGAATGAATAGTAGTCCTAAAATCCATAATAAGCAGCAGGGTGTTGGTTTTGGGAGCCAAAGGTTATAATTTGGATTATTCAGGGGGTGTTTGGTAAGTAATGGACCTACTATGGAAGGATTTTTAATACATAGGGTTGCTTAGTAAATTATAGAATTAAATTGAAAAGGATTTTAGAAGTGGGGGCATGCTTGGTAATTATTAGGACTTATTATGAAGAGAATTGTAGGAAGCAAGGACTAAAGAGTAAAATGGGATTTAGATGGTAAGGGTTAGAGAAGTAAGGACTGAATGTGTCAAAGTTGAGATCATGGGGACTAAAAGGTAATGTTTGGATTAGTCTTGCAAATAATTCTCAAAGTAGAGGGTTGTATGGTAACTATTCGATTTCATTCGAAAAAGAATTTATGGGGAGTGACCAAAAGTGGATATTTGGGTAGACGTTTGAAAGGGATACGGGGAATAAACCCTTGGCTTCCCCTCATCGCATGGTGAAACCCTAAACCTAGGAGATATCCAGCCGCCATGCGTGAAGTCATCCACCACCACCTCCCTTTCGTTCATTGTTCCAATCAAACTGAGATGCCTGCTCCCTCGCCGTTGAGCACTGCCGACCGCTACACTGCCTTTGAAGGTCGCCATTGCGACGCTATTATCGGAGAACCAATGAGAGTCAATGAAACCTTTTGTGTCGTCATTATGCAAGTCGTGAGCCATTGGGAATGCAGAGTAAGTCACATTCAACCCATCCTTCCTTTTTCTCTCTCGTTCTTTTGTCGACCCATGTATTGCAGCCGCCGCCATGCGGCTATTCCCTCTCGCTATAGCTTCTGAACACCGATTGCCACCACAAAAAATGATTGTATTATGTATGTTTAAGGTGGACAGTGGGTTCGCTTTTTGAGCTAGGGTTTGCTGGTTTGTGTGGCTTGTTTACTAGGAACCAAAAGAAATCACCACCACCGCTGTGAGGTGGTGGCTGCCATCCCAAATCCATTGTTGTCGCCACTGTGAGCCACCAGGTGGGTGAATGGGTTCATCTTGCAAGAAGAAAGCATGTGTATGTGTTGTGTGTGCTTTGTTTGGCCGAAAAAACCGAGAAAAGGCCACCACCACCACCATGAGGTGGTGGCTGCCACTCTCTACCCCCGCCTGCCGCCACAAGGTGGTTGTGTGTGTGTGTGTTTAGCTTAGCTTAATGTGTGTGTGTGTGTGTTATTTGAGATGTTGCATTGTATGATGTAATCAGTAACAGAATAATGGAAAGAAAACTCAAAAAACACCACCGTAAGGTGGTGGTTGCCGCCTCCTGCCGCTACCAGCCGTTGTGTTGGGTGGTGGTGTGCTTTAGCTTGTGATTAGTTTGCTTTTGTGATGTTTGGACTTAATCGGACTAGAACCCTAACCACCATTGTAAGGTGGTGGCCGCTGCCGTGAGCTGCCGTTGACCACCAGTACCTGAGGTGGTAGTGGGTGATACCCAGCTTGTGAAACCCTGGTGGGCCTAATGAAACTCTAATGGGCCTAAGGACTTAGATTTTGGGCCTAATTGGGTTGTGAGGGGTTAGAAACCCTAATTAGGGTTTAGAAAACCCTAATTTTGGATATATGGGCCTTGGACTTACTGGGACCCACATTTGGGCCATTGGAATGGAATTGTGAAATACACCCAATCACACCATATGATTTATCTAGTAGATTGATGGACTTAATGGATTAAGCCCTTAATCGGTTATGTGAGAAACACTTAACCCTAATTGTCATTTTATGTGAAACCTTATACTTACTTGGGCCTTAAGTTGGGCCTTTCTATTGGGCTTTGGTGATTTGGCTAATAATGTGCCATCCAAGAACAATCATATGGACTAAGAATTTATGGATGGGCTTTAGGGTAAGGCCCATGTGAGGGTTTGGGGATAATTTGGAATATTAGGCCATATACGGGCCATAATTGAGCCTTTATGATTATGAGATGTTGGGCCATTAGAAATGCCAAATGGTTGGACTGGACTAAATGGTTAGGTCTCAGGGTAAGACCATGTAGAAGTTTAGGCCCAATTTGGAAATTTGGGCCATATGTTGGGCTTTGACTCATAGTTGAATTTTGGGCCTTTGGATTGGGCGTTGGGCTTGAATCAAGCTAAGATAGGGGTAAAGCATTCTTTTACCCCAAGCATGGACTTATGGGTATATGTGATGGAATCCAATTATTAATTGGGTGTTATTTTGATGTTGATAGATTCGGGAATCTGTCATCCAACAGCTAAGGTTTTGTCTGCGGGACTTCAGCAGTGTGATATGAGTTTTCCTCTAGTAGGAACGGGTCGAAGGCACCAATATCAGCCCGTTTATGTATGTTAGCATATGCTAGACTTCGGTCAGATGTCAGGGATAGCCCGATGTAGCTTATCTGTTCTGGACTTCGATCCAATACCGGGGGGGGGGGGGGGTCCCGAGAAGCATTTATGTATGCTTGATGTCTTTATGATTCTTGCAGGTGCTTGTTTATGTGTTCCGAACTTCAGTCTGATGGCAGGGCAAGCTCGAGGAAGGTTTAGCTTATTTGTGATGTGTTATGTGTTCCAAACTTCGGTCCGATGTCAGGGCAATCCCGACGAAGGCTTATCTTATGTGTGATGTGTTATGTGTTCCGGACTTCAGTATGATGTTAGGGCAAGCCCAAGGAAGGTTTAGCTTATATATTATGTGTTATGTGTTTCAGACTTTGGTCTGATGTCGGGGCAAGCCCGAGGAAGATTTATATGTTTATGTTTATGTGTTATATGCTTTTTTCTATGTCATATGTATACTGGACTTCGGTTCGATGTCGGGCGGGGCCCAATGTCGGACCTCAGTCCGATTCTGGATGGTCCCCCGATGTCGGATTCATCCAATGTCGGGCAGGGCCCGATGCAGTGGGCAAGGCCCAGTATGTGCTATTATGTGTTATTGTATGGTATGTAGTAGTTTGGAGAGAATCACTAAGCTTCGTGCTTACAATTTTCAGTTTTGGTTTCAGGTACTTTCGATAGCAAGGGAAGAGTTCGGGATGATTGCAGTGCACACACCATTTGTCTAGATTGGGATGTTTATATTTTGATATATTTTGACATATGTTATGATATTTTGAGTTACACTATTTATGATTTCTATATGATGTTTAATGAGTATGGTTTCCTTAATGATTTATAACGAAATTTTTGGACTGTATTTTTGGGATGTTTCAGACGTGCTTTCTTCGCTTTTTCTACAATCCTATCCTTCTTAGCTTGCTAATATGCCATGTTTTTGGTATAGGGTGATCATTCATGTTGGCTAAGAGGTACGATCCTATGCGCTTGGAGCCTATTACTTGGTAAGGTCCTTCCCAATTGGGATCTAGTTTCTTTTGGCCTTTTTGTCTGCTGGCGTTATTTTTTTCTTAGAACGAAATCACCAATTTTAAATTGGTTATGTTTCACTCTAATGTTGCAGTATCGGTATGTCAGTGTTTTGTACCTAGCATTTCGGAGAGAGGACTTCTCTTGCTGCTCTTTAAGTAAATCAATATTGAGGCCTAGGTTTCTGTCATTCGTGGTTGGATCAAAGTTGTCGACTCGGTAAGTTGGCAAGCCTATTTTAGGTTGTAGAACGGTTTTCGAGCTATAGACTAGACAAAGGGTATACAACTTTTTCCTGTATGATCCATTGTTCAATATACCCAAAGAGCATTTGGTAGTTCTTCGACCCATTGTCCTTTAGCCTTACTGAGTCTTGCTTTTAAACCTTGCAATATGGTCCGATTAGTGACCTCGGTTTGCCCATTTTCCTGTGGGTGAGAAACAAAGGAGAAATTTTGTTTGATTTTAAGTTCTTTGCACTATTCTTGAAAAGGGTTGTTGGAAAACTGCTTTCCGTTGTCACTGATGAATATTCTTGGAATTCCAAAGTGACATACAATATTGCGCCAAACAAAGTGCAATACCTTTTGACTGGTAATTGTTGCTACGGGTTCGACTTCTACCCACTTTGTAAAATAGTCTATGGAGACTATCAAAAATTTGATGTGGCTGGTAGCCTCTGTAAATGGTCTCACTATGTCGATCCCCCATTGGTAGAAGGGCC